GCCTCGGTCTCCCACACAACCAGCTGGCCGCCCAGGCCGGCGCCACCACACCTTCCGAGGAGTCCCTGGGCTCCGAGGCCAGCGCCACGTCGGGCGGCTCAGGTGAGGAGGGGCAGGGTGCAGGGAGAACGGGTGGACAAGTAAGGGTGGGTTGGGGGTGTGGGGCCTGGATGACAGGTGCAGAGTTCAGAAGAGGGTGGTGCTCGCTGGACGAGAGGCTCTGGGAGGAGGAGAGGGCGGGGACACCCGCCAGAAAGAGGCCGAGGAGGCGCTGGAGGCCCCGCAGGATTGAATGGGCATGGCTGGAGCGCAGGAGGTGAGGGGCAGAGGCTGTCGAGGGAGAAGGCCGGGCGGGGCTGGGTGTTCTCTGCTTCTCTGGGCGGAGGGCTGCAGCGGGTGGGAGCTGCCTGGCCCTGGCTGGGCAGGTACCAAGGCGCCTGGGTCTTCACAGCCCCTGGGGAAAGCCGGAGCCGGCTGCGCTGGGGCCTCTCTCGGCTGAGGAAAGACAAGGGCTCGTCACAGCCAAACCTCTCTGCCAGCGTCCAGGAGGATTTGGGTCACCAGTATGTGCCCAGTGAATCAGGTAGGAGGTGCCTGCTGGGTAAGTAGCTGGGTGGGAGATGGGCCACTCTGAGGAGCCCCAGCAGTGAGGCAAGGGACCTGGGATTAGGAAAACAATAACAACAATAATAGTAGCAGCATTGTCATTAATTAGCAATGCCCAGTGTCCTATGAAGCACTTTACAAGGGCTGCCTCACTCAACCCTCCCACACTGTTGAACTATTTATTATTTGTGTCATGTCCATATGGCTCAGGTGAGGAAACAGGCTCAGCCATGCTAAGTAGCCGGTGGAAGGCACAGAGCTGGTAGTAAGCACAGCAGCCGGAGTTGGAGTGTATGCATGCCCCTGTGCACCAGACCCCATAAGCGGCTTCAGGACACCATAGCTTTTCTTTGGCTCGCCTCCTCCCTCATGGGAGAGGGTCCCCGTAACTCCGTGTAGTTCTGAAGGTGAGGGGAAGGCTCCCTTGCTCCTACAGCTCCCATACCGATGTGTGTACGCAAAGACACTATTTCTCTCCCAGTCTAGAGGCCCACAATCCAGACTGTGCCCCCAATTCTGCATTTCTCTACAGCCTGAACACCTGCCTGCCCCTCCCTGCCCCCTGCCCTGCCCCTGCAGGGTCTCCAGCACTTTCAGCACCTTCAGGGCTCTTTGCTGGAATGAGGGGAACATGGGATTTGTCCTGGTCTGTTTCTCTACCTGGTGTCCTGCAAGGAGGCAGGTATTTCCCACCTAAAAAGGGGGCATTACTCAAGGACTATACACAAAGACTCAGGAGGCCAGGTTTCCCCAGCTGGCATGCAGAAAGGAGCAGGCCCACCAGGGCAGGCTGTGTGCAGGATCTTCAGCAGTCGCTAGTCTGTTCTTTCCCAGTTTCCGATAAAACTCCTCCAAACTGGTCCAGCTGTGCCTCCAGTAGGCTTGAGGTGACTATGTCTGGCCTTGGCCACAGGAGCTGGGGCACCTTCTCCTCGAAGCAGTGGGCATTGGGGGGCTGTAGTACAGGAAGCGGGAGGGAGGCCAGCTGGTGGGGGCAGGGGTAGAGAAGGAGAAGGACTGAGACAGAGAGAGAGAAGCCAGCACAGAGGCCTGGGGACAGCTGATCCCTTCCCACCAGGGGCCTCCCTCCCAGGTCCATTTTG